ATCTTATGCATCCCTCCAACAGCTTGGTTATTCCTTGTCTGCACACTTCAGTGACATTGATTTAATTTACCAGGGTATTATAAGGACCTTTAGAGTGAAGTTACTGCTAAAACAATGTTACATTGAACTGAAACGTAGGATTTCCATAGTACAGCCACCATTCCATGGTTACCGAGTGTGTCCTTGGCCTGTAAGAACTTGAAAATTGGTTTGTCAACACTGTAGGTTTGCAGGTTTATAATTTCATTGCAGAATGTCCTAACACTGAAAACCTGGAATGGTAGCTGAGTTTTTGACAGCACATCAAGAGCAGTGCTGTGAGGGCATCGTGCTGGGCCCTGTAAAGGCCCAGCAGTCACTACAGGGGCTTGGTGAGGATTGTGGAGTCACCTGCCTGAAGCAGGGATGGGAGCAGATGCTCTGGGAGGTCCTACCTGTCTCTCTGTTAACTTTTCTCCCCGTGCAGCTCCTGACTGATCCTGCAGTGTTGCCAGATGATGGAGTTTGACACACCATTTTCCCACAGCAGTGCTGTCCTAGGCAGTCTCCAGTTAATGTTGCCGTGCTTCTTTCTTTGGCTGACAGAAAAATAAGCTCTAAAAAAAACCCAGTGAAAAACTTGCCCCCAGATTATTTCCAGTGGCATCTGCCTGATGAATGATGCTCATACCTGAGCAGGGCTGTAATAAGCTGACTTATTTTAAATTTTAAATGCTTAAAACAGGTAGCATAAATACTCTGTCCGTCATCACTATATAGTATAAATACTGGTCCCATCATCCTGCAGAGATCAGAGTACAGAAGGAGTCAGTGTGTGTCTGGTGCAGTGCAGGCACTCAGCTTGCTTTCCTGTTGCACCCCAGCACCTGTCTTTGGCTGAAGATGTAATACCTCAGCTGATCGGTTTCAGATGAGAGTTTATAGCCCATATTTTCAATTTAATAGCAGGAATTTCATTACACCCGCTCTGCAGACCAAACTTTATTTCACCTGAAGTTATTTTTTTATTGGAAGAATAAATCTTGATTGAACAGTTCAATTCATATCTCTGTCATTAGTCGTCCTCTTCGGTGCACTGATAACTGCAGTTACCTGACGGGAGTTTCAGGGACTTGAAGTAATCATGTCATTCTTGAAGTTAATAAAGTGCTTATTGTAGTCTTGGGGGCAAAATGTCTCTGAATAAAACATGGTTAAAGTTTACTACCATTTGTTAGAACTCACTGTTACCAAAAGGCTTTTTATTGAAACAGGCTTTAAGCGTGGGAATGGCGCTTTCTCTAATAAAGCTATTTTCAGAGGTCTCTTTTAGGAAAATGGTGAGCATAGAACTATAGAGGTTAATATTATATTCCAGATGGGAATGTTGTTCTTTTTCACAGTAATAGTTTCATGTATATGAAAAAGCTTATTTAAAGACCTTACTGTGCACGTAACACATTTCTAGTCTACTTCATGGACAGGCATTGGAATTTTTTTTGTCTTTTGTAAAAAAGAGGGGAAAAAAAGGGCTACTAGCAGTCTAAGAAGTACATTTTTTTAAGTCTAGTGTTCATATATATATGCCATGCATTTTATGAAGCTACTCTCTAAGCTGGTAATTTCCAGAAAACTGTACAGCTCCATGACAGTAGCAGTCTGTCTGCATTCTTACGAACAATCAAGTGGCATCAGCTTTACAAGAAAAATACATGACAGTTCAGGCAATGCCTCTGCTCAGCTTGGATTTATGCAATGCACACATCAGTTGCCTGCAGGTGTCCCGAAGAAAATGAAGATTTTTCCATTTGGGTTAGTTTTTGTGTTTTTAACCTGCACCTGCAGTATTTAATAAAAAAAAAAATTCAAGCATTTGACTGTGTCCATTAAAAACACCCGTGCAGAGGTTTAAAGTAAGGATTTCAAAACTGTCATGCTTTCTAATCTTGTTGAGTAGGTTTCTAGAGTTGTGTTGTTGGGAACAGAGCTACAGCTATTTTGTAAATATCAGTAAAAGAGCAAGAACTAAATCAATGGATACTGTTCATCTAGTTCACCTTGATCTTAGTATGCCAGAATGAGAAGTGTTTATAAAAACACTTAGAAGACAAAAATATAAATGACTGCTCATGTAAAAAAAAAATCTAATACATACGTTTTGTGATAGTGTATAATACTGAAATAGAGAGTTTCCTCCACAGTGAACCAAATGAACTGGCAGTGTTATAAAAAGGATTAATTACTTGGGCTTTCTGTGGACAGACATGTTCGAGAACTTAGAGGGTGTTAAAGAATAGCAGTAGAAATTATGTAATGGCTTGAAAGAGAATTTAGATTAAATGTTAAGAAAGCAATTTCTGTGTAGATTATTCTAAGCTATTATACCAAACGTGGAGGTTATGCAAGAAAACCTGGAAGGGCATTTTCAGTCTAGACAACATAAAGTTACATTATCGCCAAGTCCATACGTGTTTCTGTATGTGCCACTTGCAGCTTTAGAACCCTTTGGCCAATTCATCTCACTGGATAGAGAGGGGGAGAAGATAAATAGTTTATGAAAATACACTGCTGAGAGGGGCTAAAGATTCATTCCAGTCTCCTGAGGTGATGGCTTCAACCAGAAAGGGAGGTCCTGCATATCCTAGTTAGCAAAAGCTTTGCTTAGAGCACACATCTTTAAATGTCAAGTCCAACAGAGCAGGGGAGGACAATGTACAAAATTTTTGAGTTCTGAATCTCACAAAAGTATATTTCCTTTCTGATCCCTGTGGCAGTCTGAAAAAGTGGCGGTTTTCTTTCAGTCACTATGATCAACATTTTACCAGGAAAATGTAAATGGCACCTAAGCCTCTCTAAACATGGGAGTCAGTGTACAGTTTGAAGACAGGATGAAGGACTGGGATTTACATTGCTGAGGCAGGAGGGTAGTTCTGGATCCAACGGTCACGTTTTTTCAGTTAAAGCTGGTTTGTTCTTGGGGCCGTGTTTTTTTGGGTTTTTTTGGATGCAGAGTAAGAAACAGTGAATGTCTTACTTGGAAAGAACACACTTAATCTTAGTATTTCCAAACCAAAGTAGTGTGAACGTGGTTTTGATATGGAAAGAAAAACAAAAAGGCTGAGCATGAGCAGAACTGTGGGTGCCCCTGAGGAGCTGCTCTGTTGAGATTGGAGGAGCAACAAGAACTGTCATCTTGGACAAGTCACAGCTTCCCAGACTGACATTTCCCACCACTAATCCTCCTCCTACACTTCTGGGGTCTGAGGATCATGCACATTTTATAACTGAAGCCATGTGTCGTAAATCTCCTGATGAAGGAAGTACAAACCTTATGTAGCAATGTACTGTATGTCAAACTTTATTTTTTTACTATATATGTACGTATGTGTCCCAGCATTTTACAACTGCTCATATGTTGCAGAAAGACCTATTACCCAGACTAAAGAGTTGCTGAATCACACAGTATCTTAAGTCTAAATAACTTTATAAATAGTCAAGGTTGGGCTCAGTAGCAATTCCTAAGCCACATTAAGTAGAACATGTCACAGCTTTCTTGGAAAAAAGATGCTTGGATGGTCTGAATATCATCATCTGGTTGGCTCTTGTATTAGTTGTGTTATAGTTTTTAAGATTTGCTTTTTTTTCAGTTGAGTGTTAATATTTTGTTAAAAGATTAAAAACCCTATAGTCATTCTAATGTGAAAATGCCATTAAGAACTTCATCTACATTCAGAAACCTACAGTCTTTTAGACAACACAAGTATTTGCTGGGGCATGATTTCATTTTTTGACTTAAAGCTATTGAAGGGATGGGATTAGATAAAACATGCTCTGCTTGCCCTGTAGCTTGTTTGCAAAGTTGATTTGAAGCATTAAAGTGACAAAATTATTAAATGTGTTGGATAAATCTTAGGTCGAAGATTGCAAAGCCAGGCAGGGTGTATTCGGTGGAGTTATGACATGAAGCAATCAGGTCTGCATGAAGGCAGCCCTCGGGCTGTCTCAGGGAAGCTGAGAAACATTTCAAAAGCAGAGCAACACTGGGCACCCTTCAAAGCTACATGGAGTTAGTGCTCTTCCCACCGCATGGAAAATCGGTCCTGTTGAAGTGCACACCATCAGCACTGGCAGCTGGATGGTGCATCAAGCAAGGACCCAACATGTGCCTTTCCGTGCTCACATACAAGCGTCACTTGATTTTGTTGATGGAGAGTATGTTGTTGTCTCCCTTTGAAAGTGGTTTGTTTCATCCCTGAAAGTGTGGAATCCACTGGTGTGTGTGCTGGGGGTGCTGGGATTTTTAATAGCACAAAGTATCTTGTTCATTTGACAGTGGCATCCAAATTGTTATGATTTACATTTATATACTGTGTATACTGTGTATTTAACAGTTTCGTGCATGTTATGCTTCTAAGTTCCCTGTGCCATCGGTTTCATCTGTAATATGCATGGGTTCTTCAAAGTAAAAAACTATGGCAAATAGTATTTTTTTTAAATAAGGAAATAATTATAGAAGTTTAAAAATCAACAAGGAAGATTTAGAAGTAGGAGACATGAAATTCCCCTATAAAATTATTTTGATAATGAAATGTCTATTGTGTCTCCCTTTGGCCTGATTATCTTTAATTGAATTGAGTCTTTTAAATCACAAGTGAGGCCTTATGGATAATTTAGAAAACTATTCCCTTTAAATACAGCTTCACCTCTTACAATTATTTTCTACTTTCTTAATATCTCTCTCTTTTTTTTAAATAAAGAACATTTGCATAAGATGTTCTAAAAAGGTTTATCTACCCTGCTGCTTCATCCCCACCTCAGTGATACTGCTCTCTGCACGATACCACACTTGTTTCCACAGTGACCTACTGCTACAGGGCATCACTGCTGGAGCAGTGGGACTTGTAAATGAGATGCTGTGCTTTCCATAACAGACTGTGAATAATTCCCCAAAATTTAAGTGCAAGATAACAGCTTCCTCAAAGTTAAGGTAATCTGAGAGTGGGTTTGGTCAGTGATGGTGTACCCTGGCAGTTTCACTAAAGAACTCGTAGAACTGTGTGCTCTCATCTACAAGAAAAACGTGTTTTTAATAGTAGGACTTCACAAATTATTGATACCACTTCCTGATAAGTATTTACTACAGTTTTCTCTGTTCAGGAATTTAGCTTCCTATGATGGTGTTTCCCAGCAGGACCAAATGTTAAATAAATTTTTCTCTTGCGTTTCATAAAAATCTTTGCAGCTGGCTACTCAGAGAAGTAAAGTTGGTTATTTTCAGTGCGGTTTCAAACCTGGTTTTCATTTCCTTTCTGTGAGCACACGCAGCCTGTCCCAGCACCAGTCAGCAGTGTCCAGGCTGCGTGTGCCAAGGAGGGGGAATTTTACAGCTGGCACGAGGGACTGAGCTGCAGCCCAGCCTGGCAGATCCCGTCTCTGGTGCTTTCATCCAACGCCTCCTGCCTCCAAACTCCATGGTGGAGTAGCTGAGTAATTCAGTTCAGACCCACTCGGTGGAAGGGAATGCAGGTGCACGTTCAGGCTCCATATGGAGACAGAAAGCAGGATGTCAACTACACAGAGAGTAAAATAGTGAACTCCATGGCAAAATTGTTGAATTGATGGCAGCAAGAAAACAGAATAATGTGTGAACTTCAATTTATTGAGGCTCATGTGCCTTTCAGTTGGATGAAATCATCTGTAGTGCCATTTCAGGCTCTCTGCAGTCTTACACTAGCATCTGTACATCCATATATGCTTCCTCCCCTTTCTTGTTTTATATTACCTCTGCCTAGAAAGGCTAGAAACCTCTAAATGTTTTCCCTCTAAAATGCCAAAGATAATACGCCCCAAGCTGTGTTCAGTCTCCTTTTTTTACATTGCTTTACCTCAGACCTTTTTAAGGAGAACAGCTTGAGGGGCCCTCACTTTTCTTTCTCTTTCATTAGTCACTTGGTAAAATCAGGTAAAATACTATTTCTTATGGCAGTAGCCAAAAATCTATACTGAGCAAACACTGCACCTGTATATCAGGGTGTTGGATGTGTGGTGGTTTATACACTAATATGCCTTTGCATAATATTGAAAGATCAGGCTCACAGCAGAAAACCAATATCTTGTTGGAGTTTCTCTTGAGCAGAGAAATAAGAAAGACTTTGGGGTTTCATCCTGTCGGAGATGCTGATTCATAGGGTATTCAGGCAAGTTTTATATATATACATGTATATATACCTGCTAAAATCCGTGCTTTGTTAATTGCAAGCCAGCTTTTTCTCTTCTTAAAATTAAGATATTTTAATGGTGTAATTTTACTCGAATTTTATAGGAGCAAAATTGCTGGGAGTAAATTGCTGTACGTAAACCCTAACTCCTAGATCGTAAGTGACTGAGGATTGAGTTTACAGGCTTAGTATTTACAGCCCAACAGGTTACTCATTCATTGGTGGTGATGCATTTACAAGTAGAGAAAACAGGTCAGCTACACCTGCTGCAGCTTTAGGCTGCATGTAAAAAGGTGAAAAGTAATTGAAGAAAAATGATCATTGTATCTTTTTTTTCAGGGAAGCTTGGTCGCTTTCCACTGAGGATGCATTCCCACGCCACTCCTGACGGCCAAGCTGCCCCTCATTTTCCGAGGTCTCACCTTGCTGAAGCAGTTGCCAAAGCTAAGGCAGGTGGAGGTGGTAGTGGAAGCGCTGGTGGAACTGGGAGAGGTCTTGTGGGGCAGATTATCCCTATATATGGATTTGGCATCTTCTTATATATCCTGTACATTTTATTTAAGGTAAGACAAACATAAATTGAAAAGTCGGGGAAATAACAAAAACTTTGGAAAAGAAATGATGCGCTCAATTGTGTACCTCATTCTTGTTCAGCTGTGCTCAAAGAAAATGCTTATTTTGGACTTTCGACTGGTGGTCAAAAGATTGGAGTACCCTGTGGGTTTTGCTATTGCAAAGACTGTAGCACAGAGACAAGCTCTGATCCTGCATCAGCCTCTGACCCCTTACAATTTTTTTAAGGATATTTTTCCCCCCTGGAAATGTGTATGTCTAGAACAATGTTAGATTAATTTTGAATATACACATAGTATTCTTTTCCTTTATTTGTGACTACATATTCTATGTACTGTGTACGTCATGTGTTGCTTTATGTATTTAAAGTGGCAGAGAGGGATTAGAGTGACTGTGTACCTTTTACAACTAAAGCACCACTTTTTTGGAGAGTGGGAGTTTGTAAGATTGTATTGACCATGATGTAAATGCTCTGGCTGAGGAATGGGTTGAAAGCTAATTAAAAAAAATTCCCCTCAAGTATTTCACATGTGATTTGAACTTCTCATAGATTTTTGTTACACAGATGATTTGCATGTAGGTGATGACAGTCAGCTATGTGGGAGGAGGGAGAAGTGGACTTTTGGAAATGTGAGGGTTTTTTTCCTTTGAATGGAAACAGCCTGAGCAGTATCCAAAGAGTTGAGTCTGAGCTGGACAAAGAATGAATTGGGTGAACCAATCACAGAGATGAAAAAAATAGCCTGCAGCTTCTGTCCAGAGATGGGCAGCAGAGCTGGGGAAGGGTCTGGAGCACAGCTCTGATAAGGAGTGGCTGAGGGAGCTTGGGGGTGTTGAGCCTGGAGAAAAAGAGGCTTGAGACGGCCTTATGGCTCTCCACAACTACCTGAAAGGAGATTGTAGGCAGGTTAGGGTCAGTCTCTCTCCCAAGTAACAGCAATAGGACAAGAGGAAATAGCCTCAAATTGCTGCACCAGGGGAGGTTTAGATTGGCTATTAGGAAAAACTTCTTCACTGAAAGGGTTGTCAAGCACTGGAACAGACTGCCCAGGGAAGTGGTTGAATTGCCATCCCTGGAGATATTTAAAAGACATGTGGACGTGGCACTTGGGGACATGGTTTTGTGGTGGACTTGGCAGTGTGAGATTTACAGTTGGACTCAATGATCTTAGAAGTATTTTTTAGCCACCCAGTGTCTGTGCTGCAGGTACAAAGTTGGGAAGGAGTAATGGCAGAAACCGTAGCAAGAGGGACAAGTGGGGTCACATGTAGTTCCTTCAGAGCCTGCCCTTCATTTCACAATAATTGCCAAATGAGGTTTTTTCCCTCCTGTACACAGAATAATGGAATGGAAAATTCAGAAATTATTTTTTATGAGTTATCTTTTTACTATGCTTAAAAATATCATTTTTTCCAAGTGTCTTTTAGAAGTTTTCAGCGGGCAAGATCTCTCAGGCATCTTTCACGGTTGTCTGGTTTTGCTGCTGGGCATGCTTTTCTGTGGTTACCTTCTGGCATGTTTTAGTTTTCTGTATTTTTTCCTGTTGCCTTTGGGGCTTATATAGTACTATTGTGGTATTTCACAGAAGGGTCATCTTTTTTTCACTCCCCAGCTGGCTTCCAAGGGAAAAACTACTCCTGCAGAGCGGAAATGCCCGGCTGCTACACCTGGAAACATGAAGAGGAAAATTAGTGAGTATGACTTCGAGTTATATCTGTGTAGCTGTTGGCATGGTCCATGGTTCTTCAGGTTCTGGGCGCACTCTAAAGCTGCTGTTTGCCCCCCATAAAGAGCAAGCCAGAAGCTTCTGTGTTAGAGTGAGCTAAAGTGAATTACTACACTGTCACTTTCTAATCTCATTCAGCTAATGAGACTCTGCAATAGCAGCTTGATCCCAAGCCCCTCTGGAAGGAATGGCTTTTCATGAGGTTCGCTGAATTAACTGTACGGATTTGCTGAAAAGCTGTGTAGCTAATGATTAAAAATGGATAATAGGATGTCCATCTATAATTATTCTGTAATCCGTAATAGTCTAGTAATAGTACAGAGATATATTATAAAAGCTAGCTTCGTTTCTTTGAATTTGTGAATTCTTAGCCTTTATCAGGCACTCCCCTAATTTGTCCCTTCCTTTTTTTTTTCGCAATGAGCAAAGTTTTCGTAGGTGCAATAAAGAGAGCAAATAGTATTCTGAAGTGTTATTTTGATATTACCTAAACATTGGTGAGAATAGGTTCAACTATTTGCAGACACTTATTAGATAAATTAATAAGCTTGCTATTGAAGATTGGAGGAGTACTTACAATAACAGTATTTAAACGTGTTGTGTTTAGCTGGCTAAACTGTATTAGGAAGGAAAAGTACTTAGTGTTTTACAGAAACTGCTATCAGTAAGGTAATTCTCTTAATGTAGCTGTAATTATCTTGACATTAATGTGCATATTAGGAATACCTAATGTACTCAGTGCTATAGATTGTGTTTTCAGTGCATTGTTCCTGGAAATTTTGTGCAGTTTATTATTAGCACAATTATTAATTGTATTTTTTTCTCTAATACTTTTTAAGAGAAACTAAGTTTGCAGTAAGTTAAACATTTGCCAGTGTTATAACCCAAAGAACTAGTGATGAAAGTTATTCTGCCTTTCTCTAGAGCTCTTCATTTATATTCCTAAAGCATTCATGGCAAACTGTAGCAGAGCAGGGGACAGGTCACTGGACTAGGAATCTGAAGACTGAGTCACTACTTACATAGTGACTTGGAGGGAGTAACTTCCTTTCTCTTTGCCAGTTTCCCTTCCTCTGGGTTTAAAGTCTCAGACATGCAAAATAATTACATCAGTGATACATTAAGTAATGACATTCTGTGCAGAATAGAAATCTTTCTTAAAAGATGGATGCTTGTGGATGGATTTCTCCATTCCTACTATGCTGGAGTTCCATTGTGCCTTCGCGCTGCTTAAATACGTGTGCCCGTAGCAGCTGAATATTTAACTCACCCAGCCTGGTTTCAGTTTGTTCTGCAGTGAGGAGCAATGGAATCTCAGTTACGGGATTTTGAGCGCACACCACAAAAACCCAACAAGGAGCTCAGGCATTTTTGTTGACATCCATGCTGCTGCATCTTGACTGTTAATGCTTTTGGCCAAATGGAAGCCAGTATATGGATGTTCCTACACGTGTGTCCACTGTCGTACTATAGCCACATTTTTTGGAAAAGGGTGCAACCATGGCAATGGTGTGCTCTGCTCCCCAGGCAGATTCCATGGGACACCGCTGTTGTTCATCCCAGTAAGCCTGGCACACCTGGGCAGGGCTGGATCAAGCCATCAAGCCCATGAACTTGATTCTCTTTGAGAAAGAAGTGGTTCCTCAAACCTTGGACTCATTAGAAAATGCTCAAATGACCTTTTGTTTCTGTTCCCAGAGTCCTAAGAGGGAAAATCCACGAGAATTATTAATTCTGGAGTAGACAGCAAAACACTATGGTTTCCTTAGGGAAAAAAACCAAATAAGCAAACACACAAACAAATTTTTTTTTCCCCCCAACTTCAATTTCCAGGGCCCACCCAGTTATTGGGAGGTAGCTTGGGAGCATTTGGAAGAAGGTGCTTTCTGTGTGTTCTGTTACCATTGGCAGTAGTCTTCACCTTCTTAGGCCAAGGAAAGTAGGTAGAACTCTCTAAGCTGCATGTTTTAGTTTCCTCACAGCCGGTTTGGTTCAGTACAGCATATGCTACCTGTGATAATGGGACAGAGATAGATTTTCAAAGCTCCTGCTGACAGATTTTGAGATGGTTTTTTTGTTTTACAGCTGACTATGAGCTCACTCAACTCCAGGAAAGACTGAGAGAGACAGAAGAAGCTATGGAAAAATTAATCAACAGAGTAGGACCTATGTATGACAGGTGTGTATCAAATTACAGCATTTGAAGGAGAGATCCTGCTCTGATTAGAAATTAAACTTTCTTCCATTGTCTATATTAAAATAGCATTTTTATTGCTACTTCATATTGTAGAAATCTGATTTTACACATCACACTTTTTGTTCTGCAGTTTTTCTCTTTTCAGCATCAATATGTAAAATAAATAACTTTTTCCAACTTCATTTTCCTTAAACAGAATAGCAGCTACCCCTACCTTTCCCTTTTTTACAGTGTGTTGTTTGGAAGAAGATGACAGGTGTGTGTAAACAGAAGATAAAACCTCTACATTTAAAGTACATAAAACAACCTGTCTTATGTGACCAAAGTAATATCCTGAATTATTCTTTTCCAGTTCAATGGATTATTTTTCCAAATTGAAATGCTGTTATAATCTATGTAAATTCCTGTTAGAATAAGCATAAAATATTTCTTTAAAGGCAGAACTGTATAATATCTGATTACATAACTTAGTTCCACCCTCTAAATTCATGCATTTGCTTCTAAATATAAAAGACAAAACAGTTGTAAAATTGGCATTTAAAATTTTATTATGTTTATTAATGTTTGCTAAAAACCTGGTACCACTATTCTACATTATAAAGAAACACTGGAAACAAGTCTATGTTTTCCATAAGGAGTGTAAAGAACAGATCAGTAGGACAGTGCATAACTGCAGTGTCTGAAAATGGGAATACCATGAATATTAACATGAGTTTTGCAATCAAAACCAAGAGCTGTTCAGGTTGTAATGCATGTTAACTTTGTCTGGGCCAGCCAAGGCCTGTTTTAACCCATTCTGTAGGAACAATTCTGTGCTGAACTTGCACATTTTGTTCATTTATGCTTCAAAGTGTGTAGTTTTGCCCACTCTGTGCCATGCCCTGTATTGCAGCTGCACTCAGCTCAGGCAGACGAGGTGCTGAGCTTGCCCATGTTCAGCCAGGTTCCAGCAGGAGAACCCCTGAGCTGCCCTGGTTTTGTTAGTGGAACAGAAGGATACCACTGTGACTATTACTCCTCTGTGTTTTGGAGAGCTGACACAATGCTCTGTGCGCACCTTTAAGCTGACAGAAATAGGCTTATGAGCTGCCCAGACTTTGTGCTCACTCTCAGGATAGGATGTTTTTTTATGGAGAAAATCGGTTTAGGGTCTGATCCAGTATTTGTTCCACTCTGTGTTATTGGCTCAAAGCCTCTATTTAGTAGAACTTCCCTTGTTTGTTCAACCAAACTATTTATATAGATGGATCTAAAGGCCTCAGGGGAAATCAGAATCTGAATCTAATAAAGAATTTTGTATGTAGCCTCTTTGAAGAGGAGGGGGGAAGCACCTCTAGGTGGAGCAAATAGCTCTTTTCAAATACAATCAGATTTGGAAGCTTTCTTAACCTACACTGTGATACTCATTAAGTTCAGTAATACTGGATGAATGTATTAAATCCTATGGTAGAAAGTGTATTTAGAGCACAGAGTACTGAGCCTGGCCTATTCAGTCTGAATGTTGATAGATTTAAATAAAAAGGAAAGAGAGTGAAAATTATTTGAGCTTCATTTTTTTGATATGCAGTTAAACAGAAATCCTTGCAACAGAAAAGTCAAAGGCAGAAATAACTGGTATCAAGTTTAAAGTAGTGCTGAAAGACCCCAGATGAGACCGTGTCCCTTTAGACTAGATATGGCAAAGCAGCAGCCAGCTGGACAAGTGAAGTATTAGTAACCAAACTAAAGGCCATATTTTGCATTGTCACAAAACCAGATGTATCACCATAACCCACAGCGCTTGTCAGAGTGCTGAGGTCTGAGCTCATGCCTCAGTGTCCTCTCACTATACCTCAGGAGCATTCTCCTCCTGGATGAACTGCTCCAGGATTCATTCTGGCTTTCTCCAGGTGAAGACTCTTACAATCCAAAGACATTCTAATTTTGTGTATTTTCTTAAAAAAAAAAAAAATTGCTCTCAAAATCTGGATGAGTTGGGAAGGATAGTTTATTCTCAGAGAATGCTGTACCATGGAAAGAAATTCTGTTTCAAAGAAATAATATATACTGTCCTGTTTACCAGGCTGTCAACTGGAAAAACTTTCCTTTTTACCATAAACTGAGCAAATGTGATATGGAAGAGCAAGACGCTCTGTGGGGTGCCATTTTTGGGCAGCAGCTGCATTTCAATAATGATTATTTTAAGATCATGAAGCTAAAAAAACACCAGTTAAGATGTCTGAAATGCCATGTTAGATTATGGATGGCTCTTCAGGAAATGTTCTACCTCAGAGTAAGAATAAGAAACCTTTACTTTACCTGTTAGTGAACACTTTGGGACTTTACAAAATATTAGCATTGCCATTATGAAAAGTAATGGTTGCGTTGGAGCTACAAATACAGAGAGCAAAAGTAACGACCTTTTCTTATACTGTAAATTTGTTGTCCTCTTAGTATTCCTAAGAACATTATATCCTGGTAAATCTCTCATATGCAGGGCAGCCAGATGTCTTACACATTGCCAGCACCCTACAGTAAGTCTTCCCAGAGGCCTTAAATAGAGTGGAAATAACATGAACTTTAGTTTCTCCCTCTCTACAGGGAAATTTGTCTGTTAAGCAAGGGGTTTGGAGGAGGAATAATCTGAAATACAGACACCTTGTGTTGCAATAAGACAGGGGTATTTTCTAATGAGAGTATCCTGCATATTAGGAATTTTCCTGTATGAAGTGCTGTAGTGATGCAGCTGCATTGATTGATCCTATTATCTGAGCTAGCGTATCTTCCCATTTTGCTAAACAGATGGGTCTCTCTGTCTTCACCCAAGTGATATATATTCAAATTAGGTACAGTTTTGTCTGTAGAATTAGTTTGGCAATTCTGTTACAGCTTCAATCAAAGGCAGTTAGCTGATGAAACCATTCCTTTTTTGGGGGCCTTTTAATTCACATCTCAAATTCTACATCTGCATAACCCAGACTTTTGAGAAGATGCTGCCTCACAACTTCACTTGTTTTGTGGAACAGATTGCCAGCACAACTTGACAGGATTCAGTGTAGCCTCCCTATAATGTTGGGATATCAACTTCTCAAACTGTGGGGCTAAGTGCCCCTCAGGGGAAGTGCAGATAAGGGATGTTTTGCTTTGTGATCTCAGTCAAACAGTTTAATCTAGGTAGGTGCTAATGAAACTAGCAGGCTCCTGAGCTAGGTTCAGTTACAGTCACCTGTGTTTGCAGCTGTGCACAAAAAAATCTAGCTCAGAATCAGAACTCCCATAACCATTGCACCAACCAGCAGTAGGATGCTAATCTTGGCTTTGAAGCAGTGTTACTGTGCCTTTAGTGGAGTAGCCATCGTGTCACCCATCATTCCTCTATATGTAGAGTGGCACAAAGTACCTATTGGAATGCTGCTCTAGTCCCAACAGCTGGTAAGAGGAGAAACTGAGGATGAACACTGCAAGTTTATGAGAATTCAGGTAACTGAAACAAGGTTTAGATAGATACTAACCACCTAAAGCCAAAATCATTAATCTGTTTCCAGCTCCTCTCTTCCCATTTCATTCCTAAAATTCACCGAGCATTCAGTCTTGGAGATTATGTCTGTCTGATCTCCAGTCCAGAGATCACCAGAGATCATCGCTCTGACCTCACACACTGCCTACAGTTCAGCATTCTGTGCATGCCAAGGCCCACCCTCTCCAAGGAACTAGGAGCAACAGATCCTGACTAAAACACAGGAGCAAGAGATCCCAACCAAAACACAGCGAGATCCAAAAAAGCGCTAGAGTAGTGCCTCAGACCCCTGAGACTCTTGAACTGGCACTTACACAAAGATCAAACACCTGCTCAAGGACAGCTTAAAGCTCAAGATATCATAATTTTAAATTTGAAACTCAAGATGAAACAAGCACCATCGGTCAGAACCATTTTCACCCCTAAGTACAGCCAATGTCTTTCTTACTCTGACCTACTGAGTTAGTAGAGCACAGACCACCACTTTCCAAATACTCTTTTTTTTTGTCAATAAGATTTTTAGGAGCCTTTTTCTTTCAAGAGAAAATAATGTGTAATGACTACATGATCTTATCTGTTGGAAGAATTACTTACTGTTACAGCAGTAAGTAATTATATTACCTGAGTAATTATTAGACTCAGCAGTGTAGAACCAGTCAAAATCATATTTTGCTTTTAACCTGATAAAAATCTCAGTCCTCGCCCACTCTCTAATCATAAAGGGCAAGTTAAATGTAACACCTTCTTTTCATTTTTAAATCTTCCTTCCTGCTCCTACCCCCACGTCCCCACCAGGCAGCATTGTTGACTCTACAATAACAGCATGATCTGTCCATTTGACATTTCTTAATGAGGCCTTGCAAATTGAATGGTCATAATGAGGGATCATAAGAGTCTTGAGAATAATGATGTTTGAGTAATTTTGATCAGCCCACACAAGCTACAAATGTAGCATAAGTTCAGAATTACATTTCCTTATAATGCTTCAAACAGGGCACTGCACTCTTAATTCTCACCTAACAGTTTTATAAAGGCAAGAAATTTCTGAAGTGTCTCTTGCTTGTGTGTCACTTTGATCTTGCAGACTTTACCTGCCTTCCTTTACCTGCTTAAGTTTGCAGGCTTTCTGGATAAAGGGGTGAACTACACTGTGCTGAAGTGCAGAGCACATGCACATGTTGAAGAGTGATCATACTACGACAGGTGTCTTCAGACTGTGCTGCTGGGAAGGACCAAACAGTTGGGTTCAAACTCTTTTAATAGTTTGTAATAACACTGGACTGAACTCTGGTGTCTAATATTTTCTAGCGGGACTCAAAATGTTACAACAGACCAGGAAAAAATGTTGCTTCAACAACTCCGAGAAATAACCAGAGTTATGAAAGAAGGAAAATTCATAGATGACATCTCTCCTGAGAAGGAAGCTGAAGAAGCTCCTTACATGGAGGATTGGGAAGGTAAGAGAGCTTTTCTTACCGTAACCCTTTTGAGAAAAATTGAATAAGGATTACTTATGGTCCCAAATACTTTCAAAGTTTTGGTTGACTTTATCCTTCCTTTCCAGAAGTTAGTGTTCAAACCTTTGCAAAAAGTTTTTTTTTTTCCGCAACCATAATGGAAAAAAAATAGATTTTGAGGCACCAAGCATTGCCTTTAGTGTAAACACTACACTATCTGCTGGCAAAAGTGGCATATGAATATTCACATACACTCCATCTGCTGCTGGGGCTTGGCTGCTCTAGTTTTATATCTTTCCCTTACTTTGCTGTGCTGGATTTCACGACAATCATAGAACTCTTGGAAATCATAATTATTATGTTTTAGATAACTTACAGTTTTTACTTTTGATTAGTCATTTTTTGTTTGCTCTAATGTTGTAAAAGCCAACTGCAGGAAGTCTGTCTTTTAAAAATTATTTATTTTAGTGTCCTTTCCATTCCTTGGTGTTTACCTGTTATATAAACGTGTTTTCAAGATGTCTTAATTGAGCTGCTCACTACCATTATTTTAAATGCAGACTTAATTTCTTGCTTTTTAAAAAGCTTTCAAAAATAATCCAAACCATAAAGCATAAACAGTGGCCTTGAGCTCTGTTTATAAAGTGAAGTTCATGATGAAGTTTCTAAAATGAAATGCATAAAGTCATTGACATATCTGGTTTTGCAATTTTCTAAGTAATGCTGTCTATAGCAAAAGTCTTCAAAGCATGAATCAGTCAATCTCTAGACAGGGAAAAAAAAATGATCTATTTAAAGATCTAAGACACAATTTTTACCTCTTAGCTCCCATAGCTTTCAGCAAAGCTCAGATGTTCACTCCTGAAAGTCAGGGTTGAGAACCTGGCTCCCTGAAAATAAGTTGGTTTTTTGCCATCATCTCCCAAGAAGTCATGTTTTGCAGATTCTTGCCATGGATTTAATACTGCAATGTACACATGGCATTAAATAGTTGACACACTGGCAATGCTAAAAACAATTGTTCTATCAAACTTTGCATTCATCACTTAAGTCTGTACTACTTTTAAATGCTGGTTATGCTTCAGCCTTCATATCACTTTATTCCTAAGGTTATCCAGAAGAGACCTATCCTGTCTACGATAACTCCAACTGCTGCAAGCGCAAACAGGACACAATCCTTGTGGATTACCCTGACCTGAGCCAACCCTCTCCAGAAGAGCTGGCAGAAAGAATGGAGGGCATGGAAGATGAGGAGTATCTTTGTGATGAAACCCAGCTAACTGATCTCACCACGGGAAGGGGTGGTCAGAATTTAACGCAGAAAAAGGATGAGGCGACTCTCATTGGTGAAGAGAAGGGGAACCTTCGTCACAGCCAAAGCACTGAGGACTGCTGCTGCTGTTATGGGGATGATCCTGCTGTCATAGCAGAGAATGCTGGATTCCACTCTGAGAGCTGCAGTGAAGCAGAAGAGACAACCCAAGAGGACATGTCTGTGGAGTCAGAAAATGAAAATGCAGCACTAGAAGAGCAAAAAGCCAGTGATGCAGATGAAACAGGCACACTGAGAAAGCGTAACACGAAAGGGTTTGATTGATAGGGAACATAGTGGATGTTACCTGGATGGTAAAGGTAGAGGTCATAAACTGTCATTTGTGTGGCTTTTGTTCCCAATGAGGACTTCCCTATGTTCATGTCCTTGTACAAATTTAATTCTCGTGGTACCAGTCACATCATCTATCTGAACTGGAAGCCAATGCCCTCTTTCATGCACTCTCGTCATGGGTTACCATGATGTTGCCAACAGCGCTTTGTCCTTGATTTTTGAAGCCTGGTATCTCGGAGCAGATATTTGTGACTCTTTCCAGTTCCAAAGGAACAGTCCTTGGTTTTGCCGTTTGTCATCCCAGAGTTAACCAAATGTCTCTTTTGACTTTTTGAAAAATATCTGTGTGCTACCAGTTAGGAAAATTAATCAAATTCTTGTGTGTGTATATATATATATACATATATATATATATATATGAGTGTACAGGATGCTGGAGGAGAAAGTATGCCTTCTTTCTTTTACCTGAATGTTACCTGATCAGCAGAACAGATCACAGTCACACACATGACTTTCTCAATTGTCATTGCTGCTGTACACCCAAGAAACTGTTGTCACTACAACCCACAAAACCCATATGCTACCCCAACCCACAGCCCATTTCCCAGTTATTTTGTGTTGCAGGAACAGTGGCCTAATCCACGTTGTGTTACTTGTGTGAGCCAGACTGAAGTGCTGTGAGTTGTTCTTTAACTTTGCCATAGGTGTGGTGAAACTCCCAGGCGAGAGCAGGAAGTGGACTATATAATATGTGAGAGCACTAAAAATATCCCTAGAGATTAAAAAAACAAAAAAAGCAGTGTTAAGGTTTGTCTATAAAAACAGAGAACAGCATGAGGGTGCCCCCTAGACTGAACCCACCCTTCTTTCTGGAAACCTGTGGGGTTTTTTAACTCTTGGAATGTTGTTGCCACTGTCTTGCTGAGGGGACCCCAGGTATGGGATGAGGACAGTGCTGGAGCGACAGGCTCACAAGGGGAAGTTGGGTGGTCCCTGTGCCCAAGGGACAACCTTTCTCATGCAAGCAACACGGCAGGTGGGAGTGAGCCCCAGGAGAGGAGCCCTCAGCCTCCTCCTTCTCCAATGTTTCAGCGTTTTTCAGGCCACAGGCCCATCACAACCAAACCCTGATGTACGGGGCCACACTCAGCCCCAGTCACAACTGACATCACAGTGGCTTGGTTGTGGTGTCACATCACCTCACTGCTCCGGCACTGTAAATGCAGGGCCCCTGATGAATACCTGGAAGGAAGAGGAGCTGGAGCAGCAGGGTGGATGGCTGCCTACCTTCATGCAGGACAGGAACACAGGGCCACTTCCCGTGATGGCAGAAGAGGAAGGCATGTGCCAGGAGGCAGCAGCAGAGGCAGCAGAGGAGGGGGAACAAAATCACGCCTCTCTCGAGAGCGCCGTCGCCCTCGCTTCCCTGGTCAAGGCCATGCAGAGCTTGGTTCTGTGCCCAGCAGAGGACATTGTGCAGCCCAGGGATATCGGCATGCAAGGGAGCAGCCGGAGCAGTGATGTGGGTGACTGCCAACCTTCACGTGGGACAGCAAAGAGACGCTTCCCACGGCCACCAAAGAAGAAGTCATCTCCCCTGGGCCTGAAACATGGCAATCGACGATGCAGGAGGAGGAGAAGGAGGAGGAAGAGGACAAAGAAGGGGAAGAGGAGGAGCATCAGCCCTTGCACCCTGAGAACCATTGCCAACACTCAGGCAACAACATCCAGCGCACAGCTCTGGGAACACCGGTGGCCCAACCTCCGCCGCACCTTCATCACTCAAAAATAAACGACAAGACAAAGATAAAAATGCTGTCATCCTCTCTTATTTGGCACTTTGGCGACAGCATCTGTGCTCCTGTGACCCCTGGAGTAGGAGGCTTTTTTTGGAAACCTTCTGTTTCCGTGTCCACACACTGCTTTGCTGGTGCCACCCTAAGTTCTGGGGTTTTTTAGGCTGTAACATCAACAATTTCAGACTGGCTTTTTTAAATTCAGTAAAATAATCATAATGAACGCATTCAGCCCTAGGAACTTTTTCTTTCCAAACGTGCCAGGTAATATTATGGAGGTCATTCTAGGAGTTAGTGTAGATAATGCAGCCATTGGTCATAGCCAACATGGGATCACATGGGGAAGGTGATCCCAGCATCTCAGGAGTGCCTGGCCAGCACCCTACAATCGGCCCAGCCTCCACTCCTGTGATCAGATGGGACTCCCAGCCTCCGCTTCTGGCCATCCTGCTGGCTCACTCATTCCATCTCCTGGCATCAACAGATTATTTTGCTGATTGCCACGGGTAGTATGAGCCCTTCCTTCCCATCCCCTGCCCCCACGCCCCCTGAAGGGGTCCCAGCTCCCCTGCTCTGAGCCTCAAGAAGAGGGAAGTGAGTTGAATTAGCTTCCACCAGCCTGCTGTGCTAAGGTGACAGCTGTCCCTCAGAGGGTGACTGGCATCCCTGGGGCCTGGAGGTGGGGTTTCTTCAATCTGAGGACGAGAAGGTTCCCCGATGAGTGAGTGAAGGTGAAGTCAGACCCTCTGCAGCCTTGCATGAAGAATAGTAACAGATCAAGCCAAGAATGTAGGCAGCTGTTCCTTTGCAGAAGCAGCAGACGGCAGTTCTGCCAGGAAGAAGTGCTGGCCTTCAGCATGAAGGGCCCTTTTAGCTGCTTCACAAGGAGTTCCTTTCAAGTTGGGAAATAAATTTAAAAAACCCAAACCAATAAACCAAGAAAATAACAGTAAAAATGCTTTCTTCTTCTCTTGGTTGGGACTTTGGTGACTGCCTATGGATTCCTCTGTCCCCTTCTGGTCTCCCCAGCCCAGGAAGGACTCCGATGCATGTGGTATGGGCCCAGTCCTGGTGAGGAGATGGTGAGGAGTCAGGGCTCATGGCAGGTTGAGGCAACTGCCTCTGGTCATGAGGCTGGGGAGGCACTGTAGCAGGTGGCCCAGAGAAGGTGTGGATGCCCCATCCCTGTAAATATTCAAGGTCAGGTTGGCTGGGGCTTTGAACAGTCTGGTCGAGTGGAAGATACCTGTCAGCCTCACCTCTGTGTTCAGCCAAGCCCTTAAATCATGCCCCAGTATGCTCAAGGAAATGGTAGGAGATGCACTGATCACGTTGGAGACCTGCTGTGGGTACAGGTGCAGCCGAGTGTGAGGCTGACACCCTCTCCCTGGATTGTCACAGGCTGGCAAGTGCTCACTGGGCATCACCAGAACCACAATGCTCCCCAAGCCATAAACCCAATTCCCGTGGGCAGGCATCCCATTGCACCTGCACCCACCACGGGCCTTCCTGACACTTTGCTTTAACGTAACAGCTGGATTCCTCTGGCCTGCACCAGCTCCAGGCTGGCTCCTGGGCACCGGCTGAGGAGGGTGCGAGCCCAGGGCCACCCCCACAGAACTGCACACATCCAGCCCCTGGCGCTGGGTGTGCACTGACGGGGGTGGGGTAGGTAGGGGGGCATGGCAATGCCACTCACAGCAGCTGGGGCAACCCATGGGAAGGGCCTGTGCTGCATCCAGAGCCAGCACCCAGCCCTGCTTCACACCCCAGCCCAACCAACCCAGCCGTCAGAGCCAGTCTGTATCCCCCAGTTACGGGTCTGGCCCACAGACTACCCTCCCCAACGTTGTCCCAACATGGCAGGTGCAATTGTTCCAAACATACCAACAATCCACATAATCTGGGGACTCCATCTGCCAGATATCACTGCAGGAAAGTGAATTTGTGTTGATCAGAAGCTCCTGGTGATGGCTACCATGCTGCCAAGCTGCCACTCCGGGTTAGAGCTGCCCAATCCTCTTGGCACAGCGCTATTGCCTGTTCTTTGGATAACTCTGCTGTACCAGACATCTTCTGCCAATTTTGCAAACCCTAAGCCAAGGGTGTCCCTTTTGCAGTGCTGGGTCTATTTCCCATTGTTTCAGGCACTGAGAGGGACTTAAACCCCCATTTTACATGAAAAAAGGGACGTGAGTTCCCCTTCTACACATGCCTTACAAGGGACTCTAACCCCCTACACCTGATGAGGGACTCGAAACTCAGGTGCCTTTGAGGGATTATAACCCCCTGAAGGATCTTCAAAATTTTGAGCAAAATGCTTCACCACAGGGCGGAGTCAAACCCACCCTTATAATTTAAACTAAATCTGCACAGGGAATTTTAACACTCACCCTTTGGCTCCTCCCTGCTCCACAGCTCTCAGGTGAACTCACACAGTGCCAGCAGCTGGATGTTTGGAGAAGGGAGACTCCGAAGGTGGTGGCCTAGGGTGCCATCTGGATTGCCAAACTGTTAAGGAAACTTTCCCATCTGACTGTTCTGGAGCCACTCTGGCAGTCACACTCCTGCCACCCAAGACTTTAACTGCTGAAACCGAAGCCCCTTTGCAGTGGGTGGTTCCAGTGAACCAACAGGTGCCCTGTTTTACTCCCTACACACCCCACACTCACACAGACAAGTTTCCCTCACCAGCTCTACCCTGGTTTCCCCATAGCAGACTGTCTGGTTCCTTTAAGTAATTTAATTGTGGTGCAGGGACATAAGAACTGCTCTAGCTGGGTACCTCTGGAATTCCCTGGCTTTTGTACCCTTACAGTCTGTGCACCTGTGGTCCTCACATGCCCTTCACGCCCCATACATGTGCCTCTTGGTCCAGTGGTGATATTTGGTTGAGGGTCTTCTTATACCTGACTGGATTCTTTCTCCATGTCCATGTGCCATTAGCTGCTCTTATGGCAGCT